GGGCTGGGAGCCAGGACGCCTGGGTTCTCCCCCTGGCTCTGGGCGGTGTATGCAGACGGCCGGATACAGGCGGCGTGCGAGGAGTTGCCTGGGGTCAGACATCCCCCCAGGTCGGTCTGTGGCTGGGTTTTCCCTCGGGGGTTGAGGTGGGAGGAGGGGGGGTATCTGCCGCCCCCCCCGTCTCGCTCGGAACCCAGGCGTCCGGGGCCGGATTGGAGCGCGGCGTTTCCACCCGGTCGGCTTTTGCAGCGACACCGGCTCCTGCTGCGGGTGGAGGGACGGACGGACAGAGACAGACGGGACCCCCCCGACCCCCCCACGCCGGGGCCGTCACAGGGCGCCAGAGCCCGCAGGGGGCGGCACATGGCCCCGGGGCGCAGGGGGGCGCCGGGCGCGTAGAGCCTGGACCGGTGCCGCCCCCCCCCCCGCCTGGACCGGATCGGACCGGTGCCGCCCCCCCAGCCTGGACCGGACCTGTATCGCCCCCCCAGCCTGGACCGGATCGGTACCGCCCCCTGTCAGTCTGGACCGGACCGGTACCGCCAAATCCAGCCGGGTTTGGACCGGTACCGCCCCCAGCCTGGACCGGACCTGTGCCGCCCCCCCAGCTGGATCCCTCCCCGGGCCTGGCTCGGAGCCGGCCCCAGCGCTGCCATGAGCTGAGGGCACCGTGCCCGGCGCTGGCCCGGCCGGCCATGTGGGCACCAGAGCCGCAATGAGCCCGGGGACGGGACACTGGGCTCAGGTACCTGGGAAGGTAAATTAACCCCCCGGGGGGCGGTGCCAGGGGCAGTGGAGGAAGGCAGGGGGCTAGGAGGGAGCAGTGGGGGTGAGTTGAGGCAGTGGGTGGTAGCAGGGGGTGGCACGGGAGCACTGGGGCAGTGAGGGGGGTCAGGGGCCAGTGGGTGGCCATGGGGTGAGGTGGGAGGCCACTTCTCCCACTGGGAACTGAGCTGGGACCCAGAAACCTCCAGGGGCTGAATGGGAGCCCGCGCCCCCCAGAGGGAAAAGGCCCCATCCTCGCCCCTGCCCCGAGCCCTCGGAGACTCCTATACGTGGTGCGGAGTCTATGACACATACCTGATCGTTCCCCTCCCATCCCGTTTCTCCTTCCAGACGCTCTGAACAGGTCCCGCCAGCGGGGGGCGCCGCCCGCCCCATGGATCTCCACCCCTTCGGCCCGCGGCCCCCCAGGGACGGAACCGCCGACCCCCGGCACCAGCCCCCGGCCCGGGAGGAGCCGTCCGGGCGCCGGCTCAAACTGGAGGAGGACGAAGAGGCTGGGCGGCCGCGGGCCCCCCGGGCCCCACCCTGGCCCCCCGGCCCTGGGGAGGCTGGGCCGGAGCAGGGCGAGGCCGCGCGCTACGGCCGCTACCTGCTGATCGACAGCCAGGGGCTGCCCTACACGGTGCTGGTGGAGGAGGCGGGCGCGGCAGGCGAGCGGGCGGGGCTGCGGAAAGTGTACTGCTGCCCCGTGTGCTCCCGCACCTTCGAGTACCTCTCCTACCTGCAGCGGCACAGCATCACCCACTCGGAGCACAAGCCCCACGTCTGCCGGGCCTGCGGCAAGGCCTTCAAGCGCACGTCCCACCTGGAGCGGCACAAGTACACCCACGCCGGGCGCAAGCCCCACCAGTGCCCCATCTGCCAGCGCAGCTTCCGCGACGCCGGTGAGCTGGCCCACCACCAGCGCGTGCACACGGGCGAGCGCCCCTTCCAGTGCGAGGACTGCCACATGCGCTTCGGCGAGCGCAACACGCTCCAGCGGCACATCCGGCGCAAGCACCGCCAGCAGCCGCCCACGCCCTGACGGGCACGGGGAGCCCCGGAGCCGGACCGGC